AAAATTTTGCTAAAATATTTATTTAGAACTATTGAGAAAATCTTTAAGTTAAAGAATTATCTTAAAATTCTCCATCGTCTAGGCAGAATTTAAAATAACTCTTTTCGCCTAAGATTTAATACAATAACCCTTAAAATGAAATAACAATCTTTATAGAAAATAATTGTTAGTGACTCTCCAACATCTAGGCAGAGTACCAAGAATTATTTCTTTCGGAATATTATTTTTATTTTATTTTATAATATCACAAAAAGATTTTTTTTAAAAGTATTATTTTTTTTTTACTATAAAAAATTTTATCATCAAACAACAAATTAAAGAGAGAATAATGCAATCAATTATTGATGATAACATGCCAATGTATGTATGCTAATGAATGTCATTTACAATGAAATGCAATTTAAGAGTTTGATTCTTAAATATAATGAGACCACCTTGACTCTCCAACATCTAGGCAAAGTTTAGGTGCGGCTGTTTATATTTAAGATCCCAGTTTTATTATACTTTTTATTTATTAATTTTATTATTAATGTGAATTAAGAACTCGTGTGAAAATACTTATCGAAGTAAAATTTCCTAAATACTCCATCATCTAAGCGGCATTCAGGAACAAATTACTTCAAATAGAATTTTCACACGTATCTTTAGGATTGTTAGGAGGTTTTGAATCTTAGGGGATTTTGAATTTTTAGGGGTTTTAAAAACTTAGGATTTTGAAAATTAAAAATTAGTGTTTAAGATTTAAGTAAAACGCGAACATCTCTAAAAATCTCCATCATCTAGGTGAACTTTCGGAGCAAGTTCAATTTTTTATAATTTTTCAAAACTAATTAAAAATTTCTTATGTGTTTTTTTTTATGAAAATTTATTCATAATAATTTCTCAACATCTAGGCGGAATTATCTTTTAAAAAAATATTTTTTATTCCATCTAACATCTAGGCAGGAAAAATAATAAAAATTATTAATTTTTTTTAACATTTTTAATATATATTTTTAATTATTACTTTCATTTTTATTATTATTAAAACAATGAAACATTTATTCTAACAAATTTAAAAATTTATCATGCAAGAATAAATAAAACAAACTCAGAATAACAAAAATAATAATATATAAAAAAAATTTAGAAAATTCAAAAAAAAATTTTTTTTACCTGAACCGGACCGGTCAGTGGTCCGATCAACGCTGGTATGGGTCGGTCTGACCAGTTCGATCAGCGGTTCAGGTTCCGACAGTTCGGGTGATCCGACGGTTCAAATCGGTTTACTGGTGGTTCATTTGAACCGGTTCAAGGTTGGCTGAAACGGGTTGACGGGTCCATTTACATGGATCTCGAGTTGGATCCGGGTCCACGCGTGGATCCTCTTTGGTTGAAACGATGTCGTTTTGGGTTTTTTCCTAAACGATGTCGTTTTGAGTTTTGCTTTCCTATATATAGCTGAAGATTTTTTTTATTCATTATTTTTTGTTTTAAAAAAAAAAAGGGATGGAGAGAGGGAGAGAGGGAGAGAGGGAGAGAGAGCTCTGGCAGAGAGGTCTGGCCGTCCACCGTCCGATCACCGGAGAACCACACCGATGCCACTGGTCACCGTCGATGGTGGTCGCCGGTGGCCGAAAAATTACCAAAATTCACCGCGATGCTCCTCTCGGCCTCCTGAGTTCAGATTCAAGGTCCTTTTCGAGAGAACAAGCCCTGATCGACGTGGATCGGGGTTTGAACTTTTTTGAGTTTGTTGTTTTCCCTTTTTTTTTTGTAAAACCAAGGCTGATCTGATTCTTTTTTTGTTCTTGCAGGAAGCTTGGCGCTGAGGTTCCTCCCTGCGGGGAGGATTGTGTTTGTTTTTTTCATGTTTTGTGTAGATCTGTTTTTACGTTTCTGTTTGGGTATGGGTTTGGTGTGGTGTTTATGGTTGTTGAAAGTATTTTGATGGGGTGTAGTTCGTCTGAAAGTTTTCGAAAGGGGTTCCGAGGGCTTTCGAAAAAGAAGGTTCGAGGGAGGCTTAGCTTTTTGGAAAATGGTTGTTTTTTTTTTTTAGCCCCTCGTAGGGAAAAGGGCTGTGGATTTTAAATAGCTTTAAGGGAATCTGGGTGGCTGTAGGTAGGCTGGTGAGTAGTTGGTCGGTGGCTGTAGGGTGGCTGGTCAGGGGCGGCAGCAGTGCCAGCCACCCTACTTTTTGTTTTTTTTTTATTTTTTTGTTTTGTTTTTGTTTTTGTTTTATTCTTATTATTTTTTTTATTTTTTATATAATTAATAATTATTTTTTAAAAAAATATTATTATTATTATTATAAAAATTATTAATATTATATTAAAATAAAAATAATAGGCCCGGACAAAATCGATGTCTACATCAATATAACCAAATATCAATATATAAAAAAATATTTTGTAGTGGTACGTGCATCTTTTGTTGTATGCTTTACATAGACATAAATTTAGTGCTTTTGCAAGAAAATGTACCCACCTAGCTTTGGAGCTTTTTGTTAGAGCATCTTCTTTTCTTTTATTTATATCTATTTTGTTATCCTATCTTTTACAGAGATCGAGATAAATATAAATGCTTTGGCAAGCAAATGCATCCACCTATCACGTTGCTTGCGTCGTTTTCTTCTCTCATAGTTTCTTTGGTTTTCCTTGATGATTTTTTTTTATGAAGACCTTTTTTTTTGGATAAGATTAGATTTTATAATCTAAAATAAAAATCATGACATAATATAAAATAATAAAAATAAAAAAATAAAAGTGATACAATATAAAATTTTGTCAAATTTAATATATAAATTTAACAAAATTAAAAAATATATATTTTATATTTTTATATTAATACAAATTATAACACATAATTTTCATATAAAATATGATACAAATATATAAATTATTAATATTTTATATGATATAAATATATAAATTATCAAATACAAATAAAATTAAAAAAATTAAAGTAAAGCTTATCAATAGGCATAATTATAAATAAAAAATTATTTAAAATTTAAATATCTTACACATTACTTTTTAAAAACATTATATAAATAAATTGATTTATAAGCCATTTGTGAAATTCAAATGTTAAATATGTAAATGAATTTATATTTAAACTTTAAATATGTTAAATTTGCTTTGTAGTTGATTTGTGTGCCATTTGCGATATTCTAAAGCACACCAAGACCCTGACATTTTTTAAAAGTTAAAATGTGCTGTAAGTTTTTAGACTTTTTTATTTTTATAATGAATAATTCTTATGGTAATTTGGTTTTCAACTACCTCATCTTTTAAATCTCTAAGTGGAAAGTCAAATTAAACTATTCAATAAATCACATACTGTTAATTGTTGGTGGAAGGAGGATGTGCAATTGATTTGTAATTGATTTACAATTGATTTGATATTAGTTTTTGTTCTTGGAAATAACAATTATAAAATTTTAAAGAAAAAATACAAAAGAAAAATTAATTATAGAGGTCAAGCTAAATTATAAAAATAATATATATATCAAAGAATCATTTCAATGGATTAAAAATATTTAATTATATTATCAATGATAAAATGTTCAACTCATAAAAATACAAATAATAAAATAATTAACATACATATATAGTTAGGAAATCAATTAAACAAAAAATTGAAAGGCATAAAATAGAAAAAACAGCTTCAATGACTTAATTATAATTATACTTAATGAATTTATTTATTAACATAAACTACATGCCCAATTATTTTTACAACAATAAAGAAACAAACTCCATACATTATTAAGATGCACAATAATAAGTTTTGATCTCCTTATATTTGTATTTTTATTTGATATAAAAATCATGTTTTATTTTTAATAAAAGTCTAATTATAAAAAAGGAGACTAATAATAAAAAAATTCATTTATAATAAAATTTATAAAAAAAATTAGTAATGGTATTTTAATCAATCACATTTAAGACTTTTGGAGTTAAATTTTATTAAGGGTATTTTAGTTAATCACTTTTAGCACATTTTGAGTTTAATTATAATAAATAAGTCTAATAATAAAATATTCATTTAAATTAAAATTTATAGAAAAAATTTACTAAGGGTATTTTGAGTCAAACACTTTTAATGCTTTTAAAATTAAAATTTTAAGATTTTAAATAATTTAATTTCACATAAATTCTATTTTTAATTTTAATTGTTTTAAATTAAATTTAAATAAATTAACAAAAGTTATATATTTAAAGATAAATTAGTTCATTTAAATATTTATAGTAGTTTTTAAATTAATCAATTTTAATATTATTGGAATTCATACTTTTATATATAGACGATAGATAAAATAAATCTATCTTAGAAACTCACTTCATACAATAGGAACAAGTCTAAATTTTGCTTGTGTGGTATCCATAGAGTAATCGATATCAGTTTGTTTATATAGATGCACAATATCAGCAAATATATATTTATAAATAAAGTAAAAATGCAATTTGAGCTTTGAAAACCATGGCCAATTGAACGCATGCTAAATGCTACCTAGCTAGCTACTTGACAAGGAAAAATAGTTAATATAGTATTACCAAAAATAACATTTATAGTCAAGGAAAATCTTGTACAATTGGCAAATTATTGGACCGTTTAAAATTGTCTTTTGTTTTTTTTTTTCAAAAATTCTGCTTTTGTTTGTTTTGTTTTATTGAATTTTGAAAACATAAAACATATTCAATAATTAATATTTGATAAAGGAAGTGGTTGTAGGTGAAATTCAAATCTCATACTTACTAGATATAATTTTTTAAAAATAATTATACAAATCATCTAAGTTTGACTCTGAATTTTTTGATAAATAGCATTGTCACCAGTCAAAAACAAATATTATTCTTTCATCGTGATTCACATGATCTGAGGAGAACTATACAAGTTAGAGAATATATGATATAACCTATTCGTTAAGGTAATTCATGGGATAAAAATTATTAGAATAAATTATTTAACTAAAGAGAAAATGATTGCGTTGTACTAACCAATAAATCAACAGGTATTGTCTTTTATAATATTAAAATTTATTGGCCGAGTAAAGATTAAGTGATAACCCAAGGCACAACGAATGGAATAAGAGCAAAGAATGATGAAGACATAAAAAAAAGGCAAGAGGAGTCCATGATTTGGTTCAGGAAAATACTATAACTACCTGCCTTGGCTTAATTAGATCGAATAAGAGAGCCTTAAAAATTAGCCAAATTAATTATAATGATGCAGCTGAATCCCTCAGTTAGCTCATCCATTTCCTCTGAACAGTTTGTGCAAGTGGAGGCTATCACCTACATGGACCATGATTTGTTCAAAGCTGCGGCGGATGGTGACGTGGAACTATTTAATAAGTACCAAGGTGGTCTTCATCGCCTGGTTGATGGAAGCAAAAACACAGTGCTTCATATTCACTCCAGAACTGGAGGACGAAAGCCAGTAAAAAATGTTAAAAGGTTTCTGTGTTTTCAGAAAAGGGTATTTAAAAGAGAGTTCTGCAATAACTTTGTGGAGCAACTTGTCTTCAAGTGCCCATCACTGCTACTGCAACGCAATGCCAACTGGGAAATCCCATTGCACATTGCAGCAAGACATGGGCATTCTGGCATAGTCAAAGTCCTTATTGAACGCGCCAATGTAGTGCTACATGAAGACCCCGAGAGAGGGTTGGATGCAACCGGGGCGAGGCAGATGCTGAGAATGAGGGATGAGGAAGAAAACACTGCTTTCCATTTGGCCGCTCGATATGGTCATCTTTATGTGTTGCGACTATTGGTCAAAGAAGATCCTGATTTTGCTTTCTCCGCTAATACAAGCGGTGAGACTCCACTCTACTTAGCTGCCGAGGGAGGATATCACGGTATGGTTACTGAGATGTTAGATAATTGCAAATCAACGGTTTATGGCGGCCCCCATGGTAGAACAGCTTTGCATGCAGCAGTCCTGGCCGGAGATGAAAGTAAGTGATCAGTTCATTATTTTGTGTTATTGTTGTTGTTGTTGTTGTTGTTGTTTGGGATAATTAACTCAATGGCTGTTCTCGTTGCTTTTTCTGCCAATGGGATAATCTTCCTCATCATTCTAAATAACGTAAGTTCTGTTTCTCCCCTGGCCAAACAAGGAAAATAAAACAAAATAAATGCATGGTCTTGGTCATTCATTTTTCAAAATTAAATAAATTCACATGTATTGCTGTTGTCGAACTTTTTGATCTTTTTGTTGTGTTTTGGTAATGACAGAGACAGTAAGGAAACTAATAGAGGCAAAAATGCAACTAACCAAACAAACCGATGACAATGGGCGGACTCCACTCCACTATGCTGTGCATTTCGGTAAACGTTCAATTGCCAAAGTTTTGTTGGAAAAAGATGCATCTGCTGCTTATATAAGTGAAAAAGAGAGAGGGATGTCGGCTCTCCATATGGCAGCTTGGCAAGGCGAGCAAGGGATAATGGAAGAAATTATCTCCAATTGTCCAGGTTGCTGCGGAATGGTGGACAAAAGAGGCTGGAATTTTCTTCACTTTGCTGTCGTTGCAGTACCTCCCAAAAAACTTAATAGATTCTTAGTTGATTACAAGATTAATGATTTCACAAATAGAAATCTTTTTCATGAAAAGGATGCTAATGGGTACACGCCTATCCATATCTACTTCGCGGGGCCTGCTCGTCAGCTCTTTGGCTGGTTTTCTTTTAATTCTTTTCTTCTAGATCGTGAACTTCAAGTAAGAGGATGGAAGTCCTGGCAATTTTCCGACCAAATGACACGAAAGAAGGTATAAAGCTTTACCCTGCTTAATTTTTAATATTCTCTCCTTTTCAAAATTTTTTTTTTTCAACTTCACAAAATAATTATTGATTTTGACGTATTTAATATTTTCTTTTTCTTTTTCTAAAAAAATTCAAGTCATCAATTTCGTACATCCAACTGATGTCAAGTGTAAAGGCACATGATGCCAGCAGATATTTAACGTCTGAAATTATTTAAGACTGATAAAAAGACCAAAGAATTATAGCTTTACAAATATCATGATTGAAAAGTGACTTTTGAAAATATTGGAATCGAATTTGAAGTATAACGAGAACTATTTATTCTATAAAAAAAATTTTAAGTCTTTATATGTTAAAAAATGATTTTAGATTTTTTTGGGTATTAAAAAAGAAAAGATGGATAAAAATTTGAGATTAGATGAGTATTTTATTAAGTACATAATTTTACATTTTATTAGTCTTTAAAAGTGGACTGCCATAAGCAAAGTTTTCAAATACTGATAAGAAAATATTAAACTAACTACCATAAGCAAAGTTTAGAAACTTAACAATAACATGCATGTGTCTACTTAAATAAATTCCAAATTTATTGTTTCCTTTACAAATCTATACAATATCTTGAAAGGATCCCGTGAGATTTTTTCCATTTTCATTTTCATTTTTTAAAATTTCTTTTCATTTATCTATTTTTTGTAAATATTTTCATTTTATATTTTCTCTTTTTTATCATTTTAGGCATAAACAGTTTCATAAAAATTACAAAAAATTAAAGAAAATTAAATTAAGTTAATCTAACTTTTCTAGATTTTCTTGTCATTTAGTTTAATTTTCTTGTATAGAAGAAAGAATATAAATTTATTATTTCAATAATTTTTTTAGAATCAATTCAACCATAATAATAAATACCATAGTAAAAAAAACAATAATAATAAATAAGTAATTTAATAATATATACTCAAAATTAGGAAATGAAATATAAAGAAGAAATTAATGCAAAACAAAATGAGAGAAACATATAGTAATTTAAAATATAGTAATAATTTTTCTTGATTTTCTTTTCATTTAATTGATTTTCATAGACAGAAGAATTAATGACAATATTTATCAATTCAATCATAGTAATAAATTAATAATTTAAATAATAATAAATAATCAAAATTAGGATATGAAATACCAAAAAGAAATCATTGCAAAAAAGGGCAAAATGGAATACATAATGAAAGGTAAGGATGAGAAAAAAAACCAAAAAAATTAAAAATTAATTCAAAGCCATAATGTTTGATTCAATTGGAATCGATTTTTTCTTATTTGATTGTAATCAGATCGATTATAAATAAAAGTCAATTAGAATTTAAATCAAACTTTAAAAATTTATAATATTATACATTATTTAAAAAAATCAAATTAAATTTGATCTGAACTATTATTATCCTAATAAAAGGTGACTTTCTCATATCATAAATCTCACTCTGCCCATCTCAAAATCTTAATTCGAAACTTTTAAAATGAAGTCTTAAATTTTAATTATTGGGATGTCACATTAGAGACAAATATTATACTAATAGATAATGAAATATAAATATTTAATAAAAAGATTGCGTAGAAATAAAGTTAAAAAATGAGAAAATGTTACAACAAAGGCTTTTAACTTTGTTTATCTAGTTTAAAAACTGAATCACCAATATATGGATAAGTAAAAGTCACTAGTAGTTCATGAACTTCTATGATATATATATCACTTTGATGCATGACCAAAAAAAAAAAAGTTTTTCCATGAATAACTTTTTAGAAAAGTTTATGATTTATCTTTTGTTAGTCAACAATCAATCAAAATATGTATACAAGTATCACTTGTCTACCCCCTAGGACGGAGAAAATTTATATAAAAATTTTTAGGTGAAGTTTGTAAAGTTTTTTAAAAATAATTTAATAAAAATTTTAATAGAAAATTCAAACCAATAAATTGATTAAGTTTAATGTGAAGATTAATAATATGTAAAAAAATTATTAAAAAATTATTTATAATTTAAATTTAATCTGTACTTATTCAATAATATCAATATTTTTACTAAAAATGTCCATTTAAAAGTATAAATTAAAATTTATTAAATTTTTTTTCAAATTTTACATGTTTAATATACGTAACAAAACATTTTAAATTTTAATTTTATTTAATCAATTTTAATTAAAAATTCCATGAATTTTACGTACAAAATTTCATCTAAATCTTTATTCGGTGCATAGATATGACATGTTTCAATGACTTGTGAAGTAGGTGTGAGTGAGATAAATCTCACTTAATAAATTTAAAACTTGCATGTGGCCCACGTGTGGATCCTGTCACGTGTTTGTATTTAAATCACAATGTTTGCATGAACATTTTTTTAATTTTTTAATTGTTGATTGACAAAACGATGGATAGTGATTTTTTTTAAAAAAAGATATATATCTTTTATGTCATGAATGAAAATGATATATTTATAAAAATTGTGAAGTACCCGTGAATTTTACTCATTGACTGATAAATGCTAATCATTCCTTAAATCGACGATTATCGTTGCAGAAACATATTCGCCAATTGTTGAATGACATTGGTGATAATGCAGAAGTGGAAGGGTTACGGGTTCACCCAAACTTCAGAGAAAAGGTAAAGGACGAGGATGATGTCTCCTTCATCGAAGTTGTGGAAAAAACACGAGAGACCCATTTACTGGTGGCAACGCTTGTAGCAACCGTAACATTCGCCGCAGCATTCACCGTACCTGGTGGATACAAAAGTGATGAGCAAGGGGATGCAACCTTAAGTCGTGACCCAGCTTTTAAAGCCTTCATTATAACAGATACCCTCGCATTTGTTTCCTCTCTTTTAGCGGTCCTGCTTCATTTTCTCTTGGTATTCCTGAAGTGGAGTCTAGTTAATCTTCGATTTCAGGTGATTGGTCTGGCAGATGTCCTAACTTTTTCTGCGATGATAGCAATGGTGATTGCTTTCAGCACAGGCAGTTATGCAGTGTTACAATCTTCCATGGGGTTTGCTATCGCCACATGTTCCCTTGGCCTCACCTTCATTCCCGGTTTGCTCATTGCTTATGCCATTTATTACTTCTTTCTCTTATGAAGGATACCATAGTTACCCCCAACTACAAGCCTGCTACTGCCATAAAATTAATTAAAATGCAAAATGCCGACTGTTTCATTTCTATTGCTATATATGAATCAATGAAATAAAGGGGCATTAATTCAAGGATTCGATGTGGTTATTGCTCAAGTTAAAACAAGTTACAAGTTCCTTTCTGCCCCTTAGTTTCTAAGCTATTAATGTTTCATGACGCTTTTCATTTTTGGCAATAAATATACTGTTTATTTTTTTTCTCATCCACTCTATATCCGTCCTTTATATAATAGTCCGTCCATCTTGTTTTCTTTGGACTCTTTTCATATTCTCTTTCAAATTTTGAACACCCACCGTTGCTAAAGCTTTTAGTATGTAATTCCACAGGTCATTTATATCGAGGTCTTAATTTGGAGTTTACATACACCGAATTTTTTTTGAAAAATTTTTAATATGATTGACTTAGGCTCATTTACAACTCATAAAGAGCCCAGCCTACGACTTAACTCATTTAGAAACCCAAACAAAGTCTATTTAAAGCCCGTAAAAAAATCCTTTTAAGAGTTCATAAAATACATCGATATTTAAATATGTAATAAACAAAAAAAAAAGAGACTCATATGATTATTGTCAAACTTTTTCGCATGAAATTTATATGGATAATACTTTTTCATATGGATACATAAGAAATAAAGAATAAATTAAGCAAGTAAACTCCAAAATCAATTCTAGTCAAATTTAGTTAATAGTGTTAAAATTAGTCAAATAAAGTTAAAATTGTACAATTTGATCAAAATGAATAGAAACGAATTCAATCTTCAAAATTCACAACCTAATTAGAATCAACGTGATTTAAAGTTAAAATTAATGATTTTTTTAAAGCACTAAAAATTTTATATTGCATTTGGGAAAGTACAAAATTACCAAAATGACTTTTAAGAGTATTTTGATAATTTAACATTCCCAATGTCAGTTTTCATAAAACTTTTCATATATTAATTTCATAATATTTGATAATTTTTTGTACATTCAAAATCACAAGTAATACATTGAGAGGTGTGAAAATACGAAAATACCTTTTAGGGATATTTTCATAATTTGATCTTTTCGAACTCAGATTTTCATGAAAATTTTTAGATTTCAATTTTATATTTTATAATATTTCATAATTTGTAGTGCTTTAAAATCTCAAAATGAGTATGGGAATATTTATTTATAAAAAAATGGCCCAAATACTGAAACTTTGTACTAAAGGTAAAATAATATTTTTCATGTAGTTTAAAGGCTATAAAAATCTAATATTTGCAGTAAATAATGTGGACTAGTAAATTTTATATTGAATCTTGATCTAATGGCTAAAGATTAATCTTTGAAAAAAAAAAAAGAAATTGACTCTTGGTTGAGATTTGATCCAAGGGCTTATATTCAATCTTTCAAAGATATTTTGAGGGGCTTTCTTCTTTACAAAAGGAGGAGAAGGAAGAGAAAAAGAACGTGGAAGGGTGGCTGGTTTTAAAATGAGAAGGAGGAGAAAAAGAAACGGGGGCTGGAAAGGAAAGAAAAAAAAGGGTAAAAAAAAATGAGGAAAGAAAAAGTTTACGGAAACACAAAAGTGAAGGAAAATTATAAAAGGAGAACCCTACAACCAAAAAAAATAAAGAGAGAACGAGGAAAGGCTGTACAGCGAAAAAGAAGCAAAATAAACTTCAGAACCAAAAAGGTGATTTCCTTGATCCCATCTCAAGCATTTCATAATGTCATTCCTTATTTTCTATGTGTTTCTTCACGTGAAGTACAAGACATAAATGGTTATTATATCCTATACATATAGGAACGTTCTCCTTTCTAAGTTTTTTTTTTCTTTTTTTTAATAAAACATAAAAAAAAAAGTTCACAAACATGATTGAGGATTCGGTTCCATCAAAAAAAAAAAAAAAGGGAGGCTGTAACTAAAATAAATGGTTCTTGGGTAAGTTTAAAAGCTGGTTTTCTTTTCTTTACGTGAAACTTTGGAAGTCGTTAACTTTCTTGAGTGGGTCATTAAAAAGGATAAGCTGGGAATCAGATGGAGTTTCATTTTGCTTTTGATTGAAAAGAAACCACATGGTTCTCTCCTTCCACATCTGTCCTCACGTGAAAGGCAAAAGCTCTGTTTGTTGTCAACAGCTCCAATGGTGATTTCCTTTTTTACAGCACAGGGGCTTGGGTTCATGTTGTAGCGGGCGCTCCTTGACTGGTATAATAAAAAAGGTTTCTTCTTTTTCAGAAAGCTAGTGCCTTTCAAAACCCGAGGAGAAACTTAAAAACTTTGTCCTTGTTATGTTCCGCTCGTCCTCTTCTTTTCTTTCTATTTGTGGCATTTTCCTGGTAAAAACTTGGGACTTCATCTTGGTCGGGGTCATGTATTTAGTTCATGCTCTTCTTGCATAAAATTTATAGGGAGAGTTTAAGGCACTATCAATCTTGGCACCCACTGTTTACATTTAAAGCTTATGTTTGATACATGTGTTCAGTTCATGGGCGGGAAAAGCATGAAACTTTGGCTGTAGAATGATTAAAAAAAAGGAGGAATCTCGCAGTTCAGAATTTTTTTAAACAGATTTTGAAGCGTAAGTTACACACGCCGTTAAATTAACTAACAGTGCAAAGATGGCTATTAATATTGCCAATTACGATGCCAAGTAGGATACATCATTATCTGATTCGGCATTACAGTTTTGTTACAGTTAGAACCTTAATTGTTACAGTTTATCAAAAGTTAAGTCATTTGAGCAACCTTTTAAAAGTTGGTTCCCAAATTGAGGACATAGCTAGCTAGACTAAAATGCAACGGTATAACCTAAATGCAAAGGTATCTATTTTGTAATGATGAAGTTAATTGATCGAATAAAGATTAAAGTGGTAAAGCACAATGATTGGAAAGGGATACCGTCACATGATTGCCACACTTTTGTTAGGCCCCCTTTGAAAATGCTGTTAACTATTAGGAATTGATAATCTTTTGATTGAGGATTTTTATTGGCCTTAATGTTGAATGGCAGTAAACATTAAATTTAGTTTTCAATGGGACAAAGAATTTACTACTGGGATCTATAGGTTTTCTTGTTCTATTTTCAGAGAAAAATTGTCTGTAAACTGGAAACATTGTAGGCCTTTGTATTAAGGCAATTTAGAGGATAGATCACATCAGATGGCCGACCATATTTTATTGGTCTTTGGCAATTATTTGTAATTCTGCTTTCGATAAAATTGTGTGGCATAAAAATTAAAATATTCAAGCTTATGATACTAGTTATCTGAAATTTACTTTAACTATCAAGAGAGTACAATTTTTTAAAAGATATATAATTTTCGAAATTTTTTTTTTTCAATTCTAAAGTGTTGCTATTGAAATCTTTTATCCCCTGTAGGCAATATAATCTTGTCTCATAAATCATAAGATTTTCCTTGTTATATTTCAGAGCTTATTAGTTGCATTTCTGGATGTGTTTTTATTGCACATTCTGTGTTTTTTCATTTATTTGTTTAATGAATAGCTCATGTTTACTTAAAAAAAGAAAAGAGAAATTGAATGTGACAAGGCTAGTAGCTTGCATAGTTGATTCTCTGCAAGATTTTGCTCATAATGGTATTTGTTACAGGGAGTTGTGCTCTCAGCATTAGTCTACTACCTACAAACATGGTGTATCAGTAATAAAGGACCAGTTTTCGCAGTGATGTTCTCTCCACTGGTCGTTGATTTTTAGCCATATTCTCTGCAATTCTTTTTGCTTTTCTCATTATTTCACTAACAAGTTCCTATTTTCTTTATAATTTAACTTTTTTATTGATTTTGTAGGTATTTTTATTATTGTATATTGAAAGTATTTATTTATATGACTTACGTATATTACCAACTATTTGTATAGAATTTGTAATATATATGTATTTTTTGTATTTTTATTTAATAGAATTCATAAACAATTTTATAAAATATTGTACATTCTTTTATAAATAAATGGAGTATTTTGTTTATTTATTTTTTCTATTTATATATGTTTAGTATTCATGTAATTACTTTAAAAATAAATTAAAAAACTAAAATAAAATGAAAAAAATTATAAATAAAATATATTAAATATAGTTGAAAAATAAATATTTCCAATAGATTTTATCGACAGATTATTACCTAATTATCAACAAAATTATTGCCAATGAAATTTACCAACGGATAATTCCATTGATAATTATTTATGGATTTTACACATTATCGATGGAATAGTATTACCAACTTATTTATTATTGATGAAAAATTTCATCAATAATACTATTACTAACAGAAAACATGCTATTATTGAAGGAAAATTTTGTAGGTAAAAATCAATTTTTTGGTAGTGAAACTTACTAGATGCTATTTTTTTAAAAGTGTCTGTACGAATTATCTAAATTAAACTTTAAATTTTTTAGTAAATATTATTGTTACATGTTAAAAACAAATACTATTCTTTCAACATGATTCACATGATCTAAGGAAAACTATACAAATAGAAAGTGTCATAATATATAGATCCGTAGACCTATAGTTAGATATGGATTTTAGGGAGTCATCACCAATATTTTTGTTAAGTGTAATTGGCAACCTAATGAATCTATCCCTTTAAGGATGTCCTAAGCTTAACTAAGAATCCCTAAAAGAATAAATTTTGGTTTACATTTCAAAACAAGGTTCGAAAGTTTAATTACGTATAAGGAAGGTTATTGTACCCCCACATGCTCGTCCAAAAGATGGTACCATTTAATCTTAAATTATCCTAAAGATCTTTGTTTTAAATATTATATGAATTAAACTAAATTATTTTAGTAAATGTTATTGTTTACACGTTAAAACAAATATTATTCTTTCACATGATTCATATGATCCAAGAAAAACTATACAAGTAGAAAGTATATGAATAAACCTAATCGTCAAGGTAATTCATAGAATAAAGATTATTAGAATAAAGTATTTAACGAAAGAGAAAATGAATGCGTACGTACTATCCAATAAAGGCAAAGGTATTGTATTTTTGTAATATTGAAGTTTATTGATCGAATAAAGATTAAAGTGATAATCAAGGCACAATGAGTGGAATGAGAGCAAAGAATAATGAAGATCTATAAAAAAAGAAAAAGGAGTAAGGGTGTAAATGATTCAAAAAAAAATATTTGTTCATAACTTATTCAGTTCAATTCAAAAAAAAATTGAATTGGCTTAATCATTATCGAATTGAACTTGAGCGGAGGATGAAAGTCAGATCTAATTCCTTTACCAGTAGTCGCACCACATACGGTCAGCACTTGCTGCATTATGTCAAAGCAAGTGTTTTCACATATTTGCAATTGCATCTGCAACTGGTTTGCTTCCAGGTCTTTGGCGCTTTAAGGAATTTGATTATATCAAATACCGTATCTAAGCTATGGTGAATTTACTTTTG